ACCCCTTGTAGACTCCACTTCGGTCCTCACACCGTCCCCTCCCCGACCTTTACCTCCTGCCCCTCCGGGATGAATAGGGAACGAAAATAGGGGATGGAAGCAGGGGCCTTAGGAGGTGGGGGATGGGGGCTAGGGGATGGGGGAGGGGAGGCCAAGGACTGGGAAGGGGACGTGGGGTGAGGTAGGCAGAGAGATCACACGGATTCCTGCAGGGCCCTAGGCCTGGAATCTGTCAAGCCGCATTCTGTTGCCCTCCGCGACCGAGGGGTGTGCCCTGGGGCCGGCTGTGTCCCCAGCTCAGCCCGGAGGCCTAGCACTCGCAGGAACGCTCATTTAGAGCCGTTTTCCCACCGCCGGTTCAGAAGGTATCCCCAGCCTATTTTGAATCTGCCTGTGGGTTTCTTGCTTTCCCAGCCCCTCCAGCAAAGTCCTAGCTCTCTCCACTCCTTAAAGCCTCGTCTACACTTGCTGTCTTTTATTTCCTCATTTCCTATTCATTCTTAAAACGGCTTCATTCGATCTTCTGCCTCTGGCACCCACAAAACTGCTCAAGCCAAGGTCACCGTAGACCAACTCCAATGGGCACTTCCCTGTTAGCCCCTTTACATTTCCGTACTATCAGTGGTGTGTGTCAACCCTCCTTGAAACGTTTTCCTGGCTTCTCTCCTGCAGCACTGTCTGCGCCTTCTCAGTCTGATTTGCGACCTCCTTCCCCACCCTTTAGATGTTGGGAGGCTCTTGATTCTTTCCTGGCTATCTTCCCTCATTCTGCACTTCCTCCTCATATTTTAATCACCCTCAAGTCTTCAGGTTTCACATATATATGGTTACCAGATTTAAATATCTCGCCCAGATCTCTTTCCTGAACTCCAGACTCAGTATCCATCTGGTCTCATGATAGCCCCTTGGAAGTCCAGCAGGACTTCAACGCTTCCAGACCCCAAGCTGTGTGACCCTCCCTATGCTCCCTCTCTGCCATTCTTCCAAACCTGTTCCTCCTTCAGCTCTCAGAAATGGCTACTGTTTAATCAATTACCGAAGCTGGAGTCCTGGGCAGCATTCTAGATTAACTTCTCTCTCCCACCCTCCACGTCTATGTCACCAAGTTCTTTCGCACCCACTACCTAAGTATTTTTCAAATCCATTCATTTCACTCCATCCCACCGACTGCTGCCAAACATAATCTAGACCACACACCCCCTTTTTCCCTTGACTGCTCTGATAGCATACCCTCTTATCTATCCCCCATTAATACTTTAACATAGTATTTTCCTTAAAAAAAAGCACATCTATCTCATCATTTATTCATTCAACATATGCTTTGAGCACCTAATATATACCAGGTATTGTTAGGCACTGAAGATTTAATTATGAGCAAAAGAGACTGGGTCCTTGTCCCCATGGAGCTGACAGTCTAAGGGGGAAATCAGATAAGAATAAAATTACAAATGTAGTAGGTACTATGAAGGGAAAGATGGATGGTGCTTTAAGAACACATAAGAGCACAAGCTAAACTGGTCTGGAGGTAGGGAGATAGGTCAAGGAAGGCTCCTCTGAGAACATGACATTTTGAACTAAGAGGTAAAGGATGAAGAGGAGTTAGGCTGAGAGGGTAGGGGAAAGAGGTTCTAGGCAGAAGGGGAGTCATGTGCAAACACCTTGTGGAAGGAGAGAGCATGATGTCTTCGAATCAAAAGAAGGCCAGTAAGGCTGGATAGCAGAGTGCCAAAGCTGGAGAGGAGGGTACAGGCCAGACTATTTAGGCCATGTTAAGAATTTTGATCTTAAGGTCTTTGTCCTTGGTGTGGACTGTTGACAGTAGTGGACATGGAGAGTAAATCAAATCCAGAATTGGGTGTAGGGAGTGAGAGAAAAGATAGTTTCAGGAATGGTACCTCTACTTCTGGTTTACACACCAGGATGGGTGGTCATGTCACCCCATGAGCCAGGATCCTGAAAGAGGACCAGTTAGGCTGTGGGAGAGAGAACCATGAATGAGTATATTGGTTTGAGAGGCCTTTGTGATATCCAAGTGGAGATGTTGAGTAGAAAGTTGAATGTATATGTCTGGAGCTCAAATGAGGGGTCTGAAATGGCGGTGTACTTTTGGAAATCATCAGTGTGTAGGTGGTAACTGAAGCCAGGGGCATGAGAAAGAGAAAAGGGTGTAAGAACAAACCGTGAGAAACTCCAACATGTAATGGCTGGCGGAGGAAAATGAGGCAGCAGAGGAGAGTAAGAAACCACCAGACAGTAACTACAATGTAGGAAGAAACCAGGAGATGTGGTGTGTGGAAGCCCATGAGAGGCCCATGGTGTCAGATGCTGCTGGGACTACAACCAAGATGAGGACTCCAAGGGTCTGTTGGATTAAATGGCACAGAGGTCACGGTGACCTCGGTAGGAGCTGTTACTGAGGTGTATTGGGAGTGGAAGCAGGAAAGAGTTGAGGAGTGAGAGCCAGGTGGGGAAATGGCAACAGTGAGTGAAGAAAACACTTTCAAGGATTTTGCATGTTAGGGGAGCAAAGAGATCGAGCAGCAAGTGGCACTGGAGGAGAGTCGGGTTGAGAAAGAGTCTATATTTAAGCTGGAGATAGTGGATCCCAGAGGAGAAATTGATTAGATAAAAGAGAAAATGGATAAACAGTGGCATTAAATTTCTGGAAGGAGGCATGAAAGGAAGGATTTAAATGACAGGTGAAGTAGTTGGTTTTAGGAAGAAGTAGAGAAAAGGATAGATACCGAGTGAGTAAGTGTGTGTGTTTGAGAACTTTCCCGGGCTAATGGCTTCCATTCCCTCTGTGAATTAGAAGTGGGACTCGTCCTCTGGGAAGGAAGGGTGGTGAAGCTTAGTGTTCCAAGGAGATTTGTGTTCTTGTCTCAGCTTGAAGGTCACATCCTCAGGCAGGTCTTCGCGGATGTCGTGGCTAAAGTAAGGCTTGGGCTCCTGTAGTGCCCTGTTCTTTCCCCATCATAATACTCAATCATTTATTCAACAAACAGGAAGTGCTTAGAGTTACTAAAAGTGCTTAGAGTGCTAGATCCTGGCATTACACCGCATGGCAACAAGTTGTTCAATGACTATTTCCCCACTAGACTGTGAGCTCTGTGGGGAGGAGCCATTTCTTTATTATTCATCACTCTCCCCACCCCCCAGTGGGGGTGCCTGGCGTATAGTAAGCAATCAGTTTAGAAGACCACTGACCCTGAGCAGGTCTCATCACCTGCCTCTGTGGTCTCACATCAGCCCCTTTAGGCTTAGTGGCCACTCTTTTAATTCCTCCCATGAGAGCCCCACCCAGTTCCCTGACTTAAGTCAGAATCCATGTGGCTCTTTCCATCCTTTGAGAGGCTCCAGGGTTGGGTAACCCCAGTGAGAGGGGAGAGGTTAGGTTGTGCCCCTTCTTGAAGATACTGGGCAGCTGGTCATACTTTGACCTCAAAAGGTGACCACTCTGGCTTGGGCTAGGCACTCAGGCTTCAGCACTCACTCCCGACAGAGCTTCCTTTTCCTCCCCCAGTGCTTTCTGCCTTGGTGACCAGATGGGCAGGGGTGCCCTGAAGTCACCCTGGCTTTACTCTATCCCAGCCTCACAGTGCCTGTGCCCTTCCCAGACCACACCTCCAAGTGCAAAGGAGGTTGGTCCCAGCCTGAGCGCTGAGAAACCTGGCTCCATCCACTCCTGCTTCAGAGAAGGCCCATCATCCCTATGCTGCTCTGAGCATGGCAGAGTCACGGGGACTCATGGAGATGCCATGCAAAGGAACAGCCTTTAAGCCAGGATGTCGGTTTAAGCTAACTCCTTCCCTCCCTTTTCCCTAGATCTCAGCCCTCACCTGTCTAGGGCCGCATCCTACTCCCTTCTCAGGGACCCTTTGTTCTCCAGGACCCTCCCTGACACTCCCGTTGCCATCCCCAGTCCATGGGGCCACACACACCTGTCTCAGGGTCTCTTCCCAACTAGTTCCAAGCTTCCTAGTTCCTAGTTCCTCTCACCCCTCCCTCCTGACCAAGGGCCCACTCTGTGCAGATGCCCAGTGCACTCTTTTTGGTAATGGGAGTGTGAAGTTGAATAAGACACGGTGTCAGGTGTTCTGATAGAATGCCGTACTGGGTATCATGAGGCACAGAGGAGGGAATGGACACCTGAGGATGGAGAGAGGGGACTGAACAGGAAAGACTCACTGCTTAGAAGCTGTGACCGCTGAGCCAAGTTTTGAAACATGAGCAGAGGTTCTCACAAGGGGAGATAGAATTCCAAGCCTAGGGAGCAGTGTAAA